CGAACTCCAGGCGGGTCTCCAGTTCGCGGATCTTGGCTTCTTGCCGGCTGACCAAGCTCTTGTCCACCATGGTCTGCTCCAGGAACTCCAGCTGGCTCTGGAGGCCTTGCAGCTGTTGTTGGGGGGGATGGGGGGGGCAAAGAGGAAGCTCAGAGGGGTTTCCAGAAAGGCTGCACCCCCCCCTACCCCCACCCCACCCCGAATAGGCTTCTCGGGACCTGGGCCAGATCAACGACCTCCAGTCGCAACTGGAAGATGCTCAGAAGGAGAAGCAGGAGCTGCAGGAGAAGGTACGCCTTGAACCCGGGGCCGAGGGGTGGGGTGGGGGTAGGGGGGGGTGCAGCCTTTCTGGAAACCCCTCTGAGCTTCCTCTTTGCCCCCCCCATCCCCCCCAACAACAGCTGCAAGGCCTCCAGAGCCAGCTGGAGTTCCTGGAGCAGACCATGGTGGACAAGAGCTTGGTCAGCCGGCAAGAAGCCAAGATCCGCGAACTGGAGACCCGCCTGGAGTTCGAGAGGACCCAAGTGAAGCGCCTGGAGGTGAGGGGGAGGGGCGAGAGCGGGGAGGGGTCCCTCCCCCCTCCCAAAATTGGGCAAACCTCGGCAGGCAAAGACCCTTGCCGATCTTACAGATTAACAGAGGTTGGGACCGTGGAGGTCATCTAGTCCAACCCCCTCTGCCCAAGCACCATTTCTGACCGATGGCAAGTTCAGTTCCGTCGCAGAAGGGAATCTCGTGCAGGGCCTTCCGGGCGAACCGATCTTTTAAAATACGGGTCGTCCCTTGACTTACGACCGTCCCTTTAGTGACCGTCGGAAGTTACGACGGCGCTGAAAGCAGTTACGATGGCCGCGGCGTCCCCAGGGTCACCCTTCTGGCCAGGCCAATTCAATACAACGGCAGCGAAATTCGCTTAACAACCGCAGCAAGGAAGGTCGTAAAAAAAAAACCACGGCACGAACTGTCGCTTAACAACTGTCTCGCTTAGCGACGGAAATTTGGGCTCGCCTCGTATTCATGATGGTTTTGCACAGTCCCGGGTCTGTCTGTCTGTCTACCTGTGTGTCACGTGATCACAATTAAGTGACCCTTCCCGGCTGGCTTCCGGCAAGCAAAGTCAATGGGGAAGCTGGATTCGTTTAAGGACCGCGTGGCTCACTTAACGACTGCGGCAGTTCCCTTAACGGCAGCCGAAACGATCACGGAATGTGGCGCGTCTCGCTTCAACGCCGCCTTGACGGCGGAAACGTTAGCCTCCGTTTTGGTCGTACGATGAGGACTAGCAGTAATTCTGCCTCCACCGTCGCCTTTTCTCCCTGGCTCTGTCGTCCCCCCAACACCAGGCAAGACCCCGACCCCGTCCCAGGGGGTTCTCGCTGGCGCCCCGAGTCGTAGACGTCCCCTTCCGCGCCCCCATGCCCGTCTTTTGGGGGACCCACCGCTGCTCCCCAGATGCTCCTTCCTCTTTCTCTGCCGTTCCTGNTTCTTTCTTTCTTTCTTTCTTTCTTTCCTTCTTTCTTTCTTCCTTCCTTCCTTCTTTTTCTCTTTTTCTCTTTTTCTCTCTCTTTATCTCTTCCCTTCTTCCTTCCATCACTTCTTTTCTTCCTTCCTTCTTTCTTACTCTCTCTCTCTCTTTCTCTCTCTTTATCTCTTTATCTCTCCCCTTCCTTCGATCACTTCTTTCCTTCCTTCCTTCTTTCTTACTCTCTCTTTCTCTCTCTCTTTCTCTTTTTCTCTCTCTTTATCACTTTATCTCTCCCCTTCTTCCATCACTTCTTTCTTTCCTTCCTTCCTTCCTTCTTTCTCTTTTTCTCTCTCTTTATCTTTCCCCTTCCTTCCATCACTTCTTCCTTCCTTCCTTCTTTCTTTCTCTTTCTCTCTTTCTCTCTTTATCTCTCCCCTTCTTCCTCCCATCACTTCTTTCTTTCCTTCCTTCTTTCTTTTTCTCTCTCCCTTCCTTCTTTCTATCTATCACTTTCTTTCCTTCCTTCCTTCTTTTTCTCTCTTTTTCTCTTTATCTCTCCCCTTCTTCCTTCCATTACTTCTTTCTTTCTTTCTCTCCCTTCCTTCTTTCCATCACTCCTTTTTTTTCTTTCTTTCTCCCTTTCCCTTCCTTTCCATCACTCCTCTTTTCTCTCTCTCTTTCTTTCTTCTTTCTCTTTCTCTCCCTTCCTTCTTTCCATCACTCCTCTTTTTTCTTTCTTTCTTTCTCTCTTTCTCTTTCTCTCTTTTTCTCTCTCTCCTCTCCTCGGAGGAAGGGATGGGGGGGGCAAGCAAACAAAGAATCCCACTTCATTTGAAGAGACCCCCCCCCCATTTAATAGCAAAGCAGACCATAGCAGCCAGGCCATCACCTAACATTAGAGACTCTTGACAGCCAAGGTGGTGGGGGAGGATGGTGGATTGATTGGAGGGGGGGAGAAAGAGAAGGGGGCGGAGGGAGGGAGGAAGAAAGGAAGGAAGGAAAGAGAAGGGAAAGAAAAGTGAGAGAAAGAAAGAGAATGGAGGGAAAAAGAAAGAAAAAGAAAAGAATTGGGGAAGGAAGGGAGAGAAAGAATGAGAGAGAGAGAGACAAAGAAGAGAGAGTGAAAGAAAGAGAAAGAAAGAAAAAAGAAGAGTGAGAGAAGGAAGGAGGGAATAGAAAGGAGGGAGGGAGAGAGAAAGAAAGAGAAGGAGGGNTTCTTTCCTTCTTTCTTTCCTTCCTTCCTTCCTTCCTTCCTTCCTCCTTTTCTCTTTTTCTCTCTCTCTTTATCTCTTTATCTCTTTATCTCTTTCCTTCTTCCTTCCATCACTTTTTTTCTTCCTTCCTTCTTTCTTACTCTCTCTCTCTTTTTCTCTCTCTTTATCTTTATCTCTCCCCTTCCTCCCATCACTTCTTTCCTTCCTTCTTTCTTTCTCTCTCTTTCTCTCTCTCTTTCTCTTTTTCTCTCTCTTTATCTCTTTCTCTCCCCTTCTTCCATCACTTCTTTCTTTCCTTCCTTCCTTCCTTCTTTCCTTCCTTCTTCCTTCCTTCCTTCTTTCTCTTTCTCTTTTTCTCTCTCTTTATCTCTTTATCTTTCCCCTTCCTTCCATCACTTCTTCCTTCCTTCCTTCCTTCTTTCTTTCTCTTTCTCTCTTTCTTTCTCTTTCTCTCTCCCCTTCTTCCTCCCATCTCTTCTTTCTTTCCTTCCTTCCTTCCTTCCTTCTTTCTTTCTCTCTCTCTCTCTTTTTCTCTCTCCCTTCCTTCTTTCTATCTATCACTTCTTTCTTTCCTTCCTTCTTTTTCTCTCTTTCTCTCTTTATCTCTCCCCTTCTTCCTTCCATTACTTCTTTCTTTCTCTCCCTTCCTTCTTTCCATCACTCCTCTTTTTTTCTTTCTTTCTCTTTCTCTCCCTTTTTTCCATCACTTCTCTTTCTCTCTCTCTCTCTCTTTCTTTCTCTTTTTCTCCTTTCCTTCTTTCCATCACTCCTCTTTTTCTCTTTCTTTCTTTCTTTCTCTTTCTCTCTTTCTGTCTTTTCCTCTCTCTCCTCTCCTCGGAGGAAGGGATGAAATGGGGGGGGGGGAAGCAAACAAAGAATCCATTTGAAGAGGACCCCCCCCCATTTAATAGCAAAGCAGACCATAGCAGCCAGGCCATCACCTAACATTAGAGACTCTTGGCAGCCAAGGTGGGGGGGCGGAGGGAGGGAGGAAGAAAGGAAGGAAGGAAAGAGAAGGGAAAGAAAAGTGAGAGAAAAAGAGAATGGAGGGAGAAAGAAAGAAAAAGAAAAGAATTGGGGAAGGAAGGAAGGGAGAGAAAGAATGAGAGAGAGAGACAAAGAAGAAAGAGAGAAAGAAAGAGAAAGAAAGAAAAAAGAAAGGAGGGAGAGAAGGAAGGAGGGAGGGAGAGAGAAAGAAAGAGAAGGAGGGNAAGAAAGGGAAAAAGGAGAGGGAGGAAGGACCACAAACCTCGCACTAGACGCAACTTTGGAAGATACCTTGAAAGAGCACAGCAATCCAGGGCTGGAAGGGACTTGGAGCTCATCTAGTCCAACCCCCTGCTCCAGCAAGACATTGTCAAAGTGAGTTTCTGTCTTTTGACCACCACCCCCAGTCACATGACTACATAGCCACGCCCACCCAGTCACGTGACTTCTCCCCCACCAAGCCACGCCCACAGAACCAGTAGGAATTTTATTTTTTTTTAGATTTCACCCCTGCCCCCAGCCCCAACTCTGCAGCCCCTTTGCCCCTCGGTCTTGTCTGCCATTGGTTCCCCAGGGTCTTCCCCACCTGGAGATTGAAGGTGGAACATCTCCATCCAGGATGGGGGTCTTGGACAACTGCCAGCTAGCCTGCAAGGAGTGGTGGTGGTGGTGGTGTCAAGTGAGGGTGTAGCTTGGAATCCTTTCGTAGCTGCAAAAGGCATAAGCTTGACCTCTCCCGGGAACCACGAAGTCTCATTTAGCCATTCCAAAGGGAAGGGAGGCACTTCGGGTGATCCTTGCACTGGCAGTCCTCAACTTACGACCCACAATTGAGCCCCAAATTCCTGTTTGTTAAGCGAGACATCCCCGGAGTGCATTTTGATCTGCCGTGACCTTTCTTGCTATCGTGGTTAAGGGAATCCCTGCCGTTGTTAAGCGAGTTCGTTCAGCGAAACCGGCTTCCCCGTGGACTTCGCTTGCGGAGAGGTCGCAAAAGGGGATCGTGCGACCCCAGGAGACGGCAACCGTCATAAGTACGAGTCAGTTGCCAAGCATCCGGATTCTGATCACGTGACCATGGGGATGCTGCAGCAGTCGTAACTGTGGAAAACGGTCATAAGACATTTTCCCCCCGGTGCCGCTGTGAATTCCAATGGACGCTAAATAAACGGTTGTAAGTCGAGGACTCTCTGCAACACAGATAATAAATTATTGTGGGGGGGGGTTACTCATGGGTGGCTCTAGTTGCTTGAAAGAAATCTTCTTTTAACGACCCCGTAATTGCTTGTGGGGTGGAGTTTGGGCAACTGAATGTTTCCTGGCCAGATGCCTTTCCCTGTTGCCAATGCGGAGTTTTGTTCGGCAGATACATTCTCATTGTGCCCAGAGAGAGAGAAATATCTGCCTCTGGTTGCTTGAATGTGATAAAGGGAGCTGGGTGGGGGACAGCATCAGCCCTTAGAATAAAGGACTCCAAACTTAGCCACTCTAAGACCTGTGGACTTCAACGCCCAGAATTCCCCAACCAGCTTAGCTAAGAATTCTGGGAGTTGAAGTCCACACGTCCTAAAGTGGCCACGATGGGAGCCCCCTACCCTTAGAAAGATGGAGCAGGGGATAGGAATGCCCCTTCTCTCCTGGGACCCTTCAGGCCCACCGCTGCCCCTCAGGGTGAACAGAAGCCAATGCAGAGCCATGGATGCGTAGTGGCTAGAGTGCAGTACTGCAGCTGACTCTGCCTACTGTCGGGAGTTCGATCCTGACCGCTTCAAGATTGACTCGGCCTTCCATCCTTCCAAGGTTGGGGAAGTGAGGGCTCAGATTGTTGGGGGCGAGAGGCTGACTCTGTAAACCGCTTAGGGGGGGCTGTAAA